CATCAATGAATTCTATGTAGCCCATTTCCTACATTATTTATCAAATGAACTATTTCTTTCTCATAACATGTCAATGTTGGGTATTTTTATGTGTCTAAGCCCCAAAATTGAATCAAAAGAGCATTTTATTAAGGTTTTTGACGCTTTTTACTCAAAATGGCCCGAATATGGCCTATATGACTTTACTTTAACCATTTTCTACATTTCTTATTAAATGAAATTTATTTATCTCATAAAATGTCAATATTATCTACTTATAGGTGTATAAGGAAAGAAATCACATTAAAAGAGCATATTAACACAATATGGCCCATATGACTTCTATTCAACCTATTTTCTACCTTTCTTGTCAAATGACCTTTTTATTTCTCATAACATGTCAATGTTGGGTAATATTAGGTGTCTAAGGCTAGAAATCACATCAATATAGCATTTCAATAAGTTTAACAACGCATTTTACTCAAAATGGCCCAAATATGGCCTATATGACATTTATGTAGCCCATTTCCTACATTACTTGTTAAATGAACTATTTCTTTCTCTTAAAAAGTCAAAGACACCTAGTTTTATATGTCTACACTAGTAGAATAAATGTGATGGGAAGCGGTTATAGACAAGCGGTTTACAAAATCTGCTTCCTATTTGATTAATTAAAAAAAAAAGAAGAGGGAAGTGAAATGGGAAGCGGTTTTGGCGCGAACCGCTTGCCTTTTAACTTGGCCTGTGGTTTGGCCTTGAACCGCTTACCATTAGTTAAATTTGCAAGCGGTTCAAGGCTGAACCGCTTACCAGTTTTAAATAAAAAAAGCGGGCTCATGTACAGTATGTACTACACCCTCTCTTCTCCTCCCTGTTTCATTCAATTTACTTCCCAAAATTTTCAATTCCCCCGCCTTCACTCTTCCTCTCTGTCTCCCTCGTCCTCACCTATCTTCTCACTTCTTCAGATTCCAGCCACCACCACCACCACTCCAATGTTATTCATTTTTTTTTTAATTTGGCTATTTAATTAAGTGAAGCTGCGTTTGGGGGTCGTGCGTGAGTCGTGGGTTGAGGCTGCTGCTGGTGGTGGGTCGAGGCGGCTGCTGCTTGGTCGGAGGTTGATTGTTGTTGCTCGAGGTTGCCGGTGTTAGCTGGTGGTGTTCGTGGGTGCACTTGGTGGTGGTGCATGTTCGAGGGTGTGTTGAACCGAGCCCAAACACACATTCTAGCTTCAATCTTCAATCTTTGTCTTTCTCACTCTCAAATTAGGGTGAGTTCTTGCTAAATTTTAGTTTCATATGTATTAATTAGTATTAATTGTTTGTTATTCCAAAATTTCAAGTTAGGGTTTCAAGTAGTTAATCCAAGTTTCATATGTATATATATATTGTTTGAATTTGAGTAGCTTTAAATGAAATTTATGAATAGAATATATATTAGTTAACATTTTAGTTTGTTAAATGTGGTTAATAAATTGCAATGTATATATAAGTAAACTTGGTTTGATTTTATATGTATGTTAATTTAATTATTAGACCTATATAAATTAATGAAATTGTTTATTGTTGAATGTCAAATAAATGCAAATAATAATTGAATGCTTGCATCATCATTTGCCTAGATACCCGTTCGAGTCTTTCTCAATAGGAGAAAGTCTTGAATAGTCCCCAGTTGGGACTGTTCTTGGACGTTTAATCTCACTTAGGTAGTGAATGTATGTCTCTTTTTCGATTTTAAGGAATATCCGGGCTTCTCATTTTCTCACCATGTTCTCTGGGTACATATGTAAGTAAGTTATTACCTAAAAATTGAAAAGTTGACATACATTTACTAGTGAGATTAGACGTTCAAGGATGGGTTAGGTTGGAGTGATAAGGACCTTTTGGGAGCATTCATTTTTACGATTTATGGATGATATATATGCTATGTACTTTGATTACATAATATATGTTACATTTATCATTGTTTGAAATGTGTTGGTATGTTTAAAGGCAATTTAAATCGTTAATGGATTGCGGTTGGATGTATGGTAGACGTGATATATTGGAATTTTTTAATGGGGTTCAAGAGTTTTGCAAGAGTGCTTCACAGTATCAGCTTAGAACGGGTGTCAATTACCTTTATTGTCCTTGTGTCAATTGTAATAATGTCATAAGGGTCAATAGTGTGGATACCATCATGGCTCATGTACAATGTCATGGGTTTAGGCCTCAATATCATGTTTGGGTTTGGCATGGTGAGAAGGGATCGTATAGGGAGAATGTTGTTGGCAATGAGACGCATGTTGAAAGTGCCGAGATTCATGTTGAAGAAGAAAATGGGAGTGATGATGGCGGTGAAGGGGATGACACCGAGGATGGTGGTGGTGATGATCACTTGGATGAGATGATGCGTGATGTTAAAGGTGAATTTGGTGGCCGACCTGATGTATTTGAGTCATTATCAGAGGCTGCCAAAAAGCCTTTGTATCCCGGGTCCAAAAAATACACAAAACTCTCAGCCGTGCTTACACTATTTAACATTAAGTCTAAGCATAACTAGAGTGACACTAGTTTCACTTCTTTGTTGACTGCGTTATGTGATATGTTGCCAGATGGGAATGAACTTCCTAATTCCTATTATTATGCAAAGAAACTAATGTGTCCATTTGGTTTGGAGTATAAAAAGATACATGCATGCCCTAATGACTGTGTTCTGTATCGAAATGAATATGAAGAGTTGGAGGAGTGTCCACATTGCGGTAAGTCGCGTTACAAGCGATCAAGCTGCAATGCTGGTAGTAAAGGACCTCCTGCCAAGGTGTTGTGGTACCTTCCTATTATTCCAAGGTTAAAGCGTCTATTTTCAATACCAAAGACGCCAAGAACCTGATATGGCATGCTGAGAGAAGAAAGAAAAGTGGTTTGTTGAAGCATCCTGCTGACTCTCCACAATGGAAGAACATCGATATGAAGTTTAGGGCATTTGGTGGTGAAGTCAGAATTTTAAGGCTTGGGTTGTGCACGGACGATATGAATCCATTTGGCACTCTTAGTACTAAACACAGCACATGGCCGATACTTTTAGTGATTTACAACTTGCCTCCGCGGTTGTGTATGAAACGAAAATATATAATGCTTTCACTTTTGATAACGGGGCCAAGGCAACCAGGAAACGACATTGATGTTTACCTTAAGCCCCTTATTGATGATTTGAGAAAGATGTGGGACGAAGGTGTTACCGTTTATGATGCCCATAAGAACGAGATGTTTCTTTTACGTGCTGCCCTTATGTGGACCCTCAATGATTTTCCTGCATATGGCAATTTGTCCAGGTACAAGAATAAAGGTCATAAAGCATGTCCCATTTGTATTGATGACACACCGAACGTGTACCTTGACCACTATGGCAAAGATGTGTACGTGAGGACCCAAAGATTTCTTAGGCACGATCATCTGTATCGTAAGCAGAAAAAGGCCTTCGATGGGAAATTTGAGGAGGGGGTTGCGCCTAGGCCATTGAGTGGAAAGGAGGTTTATGAGAGAGTGAAGGGTATTCCATGTGTATTTGGTAAAACAACAAAACCAATTGACCCACACGCTCTCTTTAAAAAGGAATCAATCTTTTGGAAGCTTGAGTACTGGAAAGAACATGATGTTAGACATTGTCTCGATGTGATGCATATAGAGAAGAATGTTTGTGATGCAATTCTGGGGACAATTATGAACATTCCTGGAAAAACGAAGGATGGCAAGAATGCGTGGTTAGATTTGCAAGAGTGGGGTGTTCGTCCGGAGTTGTGGGTTCAAGCTAAGGTAGGGATGGCGAAGGTTAAGGAAAAGGGAAACGAAGATGGTGGTCAAAACCGTAAGGGGAAGCGCAAGGACAAGGCCACGGGTATCGCAAAGAAGAAAGGTGATGGAAAAGGGAAAAACCATGTTTTTTTATGCTACTAGATTACTATGGAAATTCAGTCCGCTAAAAGGAAGAAGGTGGAGAAGCAAAAATCCAAGGAAGAAGGTACTCCGAAGATGGAACAAGGACAAGTGTCGAAGAAGAGTTCGAGAGCTTCATGTACTCCACTAGTAGAAGCCAAAGTCCTTAGGTCGCTTTCGAAAGCATGTACTTTTCTTCACAACCGTGTTAATGAGTTGCTACGGGTACACATATTCAAGTGAACTTGCCTAAGGCATTGTTCCACTATGATGAGGATTCGATCGCATACATTTCTAGAGAGGATGTGACGGAATTTCTAACCGGTTCCATGCTTAACATTTCCATCATTCAAACATTCATGAGGTAAATTAACGAGACTATTTCTAAACATATATATTGTATTTTTGATATTTTCGTACTAAAACAATGCAACTAGTAATTACTTGCACTCATTACTTTCTTGAAGGTCACTACAGGAGCTCCTTACTAGTAAACCCGATGGTGAAGCAGCAGTTGGGTGGTTATGCCCCGAGCAGACCTCCATAACCAAATGCTTGCATAACCCTCGTGATGTGATAGATTACCTTGAGCGGGGTATTAGAGAATCAATGCGTGCGGGAAACAAGTTCTTATTAGCCCCTTGTTTTGAGGAGTAAGTTTAAATATATCACTCTTAATTTGTTTGTTAAGTATAGATGTTGACGCATAACAATTGATGGATTGATATTTGCTTTAATATACATGTAGTCTACATTGGAGCCTTATGGTGATTTGTGTTTCCAATAAATCTACAACTTCGACTCGGCTCGTATATGGCCACCAAGGAAGTTTCTAGTGAATAACCTATTGAATAGGTACATACCGCTTCCTATATATTGTTTTGTATCATCACCTAAGTGATTGAGTGGCTATGTTCTTGAATCGTTTGTGTTTTATTTTTTTGAAGTGTTATGAAGAAGTTGAATTATCGTTCGGTTGCAGGTCCCACGTGGAAATATGCGAAGCTAAAGCCTTGATATATTGATTTACTTAATAAAATTGCCTTGAGTTTTATCATAGCATGACTATTATAACTTTGTGTCATTTTAGTGTGCGCAACAAGACAACGGCATTGACTGTGCCCTCTACGTGATGAGGTTTATGCATGACATAGTCAATAGGTGCACTGAAGCCCAACACATTGAGGAGGTACTTGTTTTTACTTTTTTCCGGTTCGATTTTGGGTAAAATTCGTCCTAAAACTAAGTATAATGATAATTTGCTATGATTTCATACGTTAGACACCTAAGACTTGTTGTAATTGACATGTTATGATAGATAAATAGCTCATTAGATAAGAAATAAAGAAATCGGGCAACGTAGTAGTGAAATAGGCGATTTCGGGTAAAAGTCGTCCTAAAACTTAGTAGAATGCTAATTTCCTATGATTTCAAACATTAGACACCTAAGACTAGTTATAATTGACATGTTATGATAAAGAAATTGCTCATTAGATAAGAAATGTAGAAATCGGGCAAGTCAGAAGTCAAATAAGCGATTTTTGGTTAAAGCCGTCCTAAAACATAGAAGAATGCTAATTTGCTATGATTTAAAACATTACACACCTAAAACTAGTTATAATTGACATGTTATGATAAAGAAATAGCTCATTAGATAAGAAATAAAGAAATCAGGCAACGTAGTAGTGAAATAGGCGATTTCGGGTAAAAGTTGTCCTAAAACTTAGTAGAATGCTTATTTGCATTGATTTCAAACATTAGACACATAAGACTAGTTATAATTGACATGTTATGAGAAAGAAATTTCTCATTAGGTAAGAAATGTAGAAATTGGGAAAGTGAGCAGCCGAGGCAACCACAGCACCCGAGGCAACAGCCTCGGGTTATGCCAGGCATCTGCAAGCAGCCAGCCACCAAACTGCAACAGCTGCCAGGAAGCCGTAGCAGCAGCCTAGGCAGCTGCACAGGCAGCTGCTGCAGTCACCTGGCAGCTGCAGCAAAAGCCAGGCCGCTGCAGCAGCAGCCTAGGAGCTGCACAGGCAGCTGCAGCAGCCATTAGGGAGCTGCACATGCAGCTGCAACAGCCAACAGGCAGCTGCACAGGCAGCTGCAACAGCAACCAGGAAGCTGCCAAGGCAGCTCCTGCAGCAGCCCAGGCAGCATCCGTTCAAGAAACCGAGTCGTTCATGCAATTTTCGTACTTGCATAGTTAGTGTATTATGGGCAATGTTTGTGAAAAAAAATTCCAAACGGAAAAAAAATGTAAAAAATGGGCAAGTAGTAGTGGAATAGGCGATTTTGGGTAATTGTCGTCCTAAAACTGAGTAAAATGATCTTTTGCTATGATTTAAAACATTAGACACCTAAGAATAGTTGTAATTGACATGTTATGATAGATAAATAGCTCATTGAATAAGAAATGTAGAAAACGGGCAACGTAGTAGTGAAATAGGCGATTTCGGGTAAAAGCCGTCCTAAAACTTAGTAGAATGCTAATTTCCTATGATTTCAAACATTAGACACCTAATACTAGTTATAATTGACATGTTATGATAAAGAAATTGCTCATTAGATAAGAAATGTAGAAATCGGGCAAGTTAGAAGTCAAATAAGCGGTTTTTGGTAAAAGTCGTCCTAAAACTTAGAAGAATGCTAATTTTCTATGATTTAAAACATTAGACACCTAATACTAGTTGTAATTGACATGTTATGATAGATAAATAGCTCATTAGATAAGAAATGTAAAAAACGGACAACGTAGTAGTGAAATAGGCGATTTTGGGTAAAAGCCGTCCTAAAACTTAGTAGAATGCTAATTTCCTATGATTTCAAACATTAGACACGTGAGACTAGTTATAATTGACATGTTATGATAAAGAAATAGCTCATTAGATAAGAAATGTAGTAATCGGTCAACGTAGTAGTGAAATAGGCGATTTTGGGTAAAAGCCGTCCTAAAACTTAGTAGAATGCTAATTTGCTATGATTTCAAATAGTAGACACCTAAGACTTGTTGTAATTGACATGTTATGATAGAAAAATATCTCATTAGATAAGAAATGTAGAAAACGGGCAAAGTAGTAGTGAAATAGGCGATTACGGGTAAAAGCCGTCCTAAAACTTAGTAGAATGCTAATTTCCTATGATTTCAAACATTAGACACCTAAGAATAGTTATAATTGACATGTTATGATAAATAAATTGCTCATTAGATAAGAAATGTAGAAATCGGGCAAGTTAGAAGTCAAATAAGCGATTTTTCGTAAAAGCCGTCCTAAAACTTAAAAGAATGCTAATTTGCTATGATTTAAAACATTAGATACCTAATACTAGTTGTAATTGACATGTTATGATAGATAAATAGCTCATTAGATAAGAAATGTAGAAAACGGGCAACATAGTAGTGAAATAGGCGATTTTTGGTAAAAACTGTCCAAAAAGTTAGAAGAAATGTAGAAAACGGGCAAATTGGTAAAAGCAGACCAAACTTAGTTCGTTGAATGCTAAATCGGGCAAGTTAGAATGATGTTTGAAATATTTAACATATATATATTATTATTTTGGAATTATTAGTTTGAATTTTATGTAATATATGAATGATGTTTAATGTTTGGTATTTTTTTCTTTTCAAAGGTTTGTAAGATTCAAAGGGAAGGCCCTTTGACAAAGGAAGAAGTTGATGAAATTCGCGACATGTGGGCTTTTTTGTGACATTTGATGGCATCTAGGTAGAATATATAATATATATGTGTTAGTTAGATAATGAATTAGATTGAGTTTTTTTTTTTTTTTTTTTTATGAACAATTAATATTTAGTTACCATATCTTTTTTATTTTTAGTAGTAAATCCATATGTACATTATATTACTTATTTGTAATTAGTACTATACATTATTTATGATTTTATATATGTTATTATTATTATGCATTTTATTGTTATTGAATTATTATTATTATTCCAAAATTTGTAATATTTTTAATTAATTATTATTAATTATTAATATTAATTAATAATAATAATTTTTAAAAAACTGGATTAATGTGCATATCAAAACAGGTCACTAATAATATTATTATTATTAATTATTATATATATTAAATTAAAAAAAAAAGAAAAAAATACAAATGGGAAGCGGTTTGGCGCCAAAACCGCTTCCCATTTGCACTGCACATAATGTTATTTGAAGTGCAAATGGAAAGCGGTATTGGCGCCAAACCGCTTGCCATTCCCCCCAAATGGGAAGCGGTTCTGAACCGCTTGCCATTTACATGGCAATTGGGAAGCCCCCTAAACCCATGCGGCTCAAAACTGCTTCCCATTTGGGGTTTTGAACCCTTCCCATAATGTTTTTTCAACTAGTGCTAAGCCCTAAAATTGAATCAAAAGAGCATTTTATTATGGTTAAGATGCTTTTTACTCAAAATGGCCCGAATATGGCCTATATGACTTTACTTTGCCCATTTCCTACATTTATTATTAAATGAACTTTATTTATCTCATAACATGTCAATATTATCTAGTTATAGGTGTATAAGGAAAGAAATCACATTAAAAGAGCATATTAACACAAAATGGCCCAAATATGGCCATTTGACTTCTATTTAGCCCATTTTCTACCTTTTTTTTCAAATCACCTTTTTAATTCTCATAACATGTCAGTGTTGGGTAATATTAGGTGTATAAGGCTAAAAATCACATCAATATATCATTTTAATAAGTTTAACAACGCATTTTACTCAAAATGGCCCAAATATGGCCTTTATGACTTTTATGTAGCCTATTTCCTACATTACTTATCAAATGAACTATTTCTTTATCATAACATGTCAATGTTAGGTAGTTTTATGTGTCTAAGCCCTAAAAAAATTGAATCAAAACAGCATTGTATTACGGTTTATGACGCTTTTTACTTTAAATGGCCCGAATATGGCCTATATGACTTTACTTTGCCCATTTCCTACATTTCTTATTAAATGAACTTTATTTATCTCATAACATGTCAATATTATCTAGTTATAGGTGTATAAGGAAAGAAATCACATTAAAAGAGTATATTAACACAAAATGGCCTAAATATAGCTCATATGACTTCTATTCAGCCCATTTTCTACCTTTCTTGTCAAATGACCTTTTTATTTCTCATAACATGTCAATGTTGGGTAATATTAGGTGTCTAAGGCTAGAAATCACATCAATATAGCATTTTATTAAGTTTTAGGACTTACCTCATCAAGCTGTTGGGTGTCCGTACAATGAGTCACAATGTCAAGCATGAATCTCATCACATACAAAGCACAATCAAGTCCATTTTCTTGTTGTGCGCACTAGCATATGACAAACGAATCACATCACTGAAACATGCAAAGGAAATTAGCAAATATTTACTAACATATAATTTGAAGATAATCAAAATATCATGTAAATTACCAACGGTGACTTCCATGTTGGACCGTTTGGAGCACGACAATGTAGCTTCTTCATAAAAATGTAGTAAATAAAGTACATTCAAATTTGATTAATCGTAAGACTACTAAATTAGTTATTATTAGCAATAATCATCACTAGGAAGCTATATATATTTACTTTTGCAATATAGACTTCACGAGCCACTTCTCCGATGATCGAGCTGAATCAAGGTGATATATTGTGTTATTGGAATTACAAATCACCATGAGGCTCCAATTCTCCCTACATAAGTTCACAATAGACAAGAAAATTAATATTTAGAAGTCAACATATAATGAGGCCAAATCGATTGAATTTGACATGGTTAGACTTACTCTATATAACATGGGGCGAATATGAACTTGTCTCCCGCACGCGCTGATTCCATGATACTTTGCTCAACATAGTACAACACGTCATGGGGGTTGCCTATTATTCTAGTAGTGGATAACTGCTCGGGGAATGACCACCCAACTTTAGAAGGAGCATCAGTTTCAGTTAAGTGCTCATGTAGTGCTCTGCGTGCATGAACATTGAATAATTAATCACATGTAGGATAATCACCATAAATTTGAATAACTTGAAAAAAATTGTAGATTATGTGGGCATTGAAGTACCTCATGAATGTTTGAATGAGGGAAATGTTAAGCTTTGCACCACGTAGAAATTCCTTCACATCTTCTTTGCTGATCCATGCAACTACATCCTCATAATAGTGGAACACTGCCTTAGGAAGTGCAACTTCCATGGGATCGACCAAATGACAAGCATGGTTGTGAAGAAAGGTCATGTCAGCAGAGAGCGATTGAAGAACAATATCTTCAACTAGTGGAGTAGGTTGCATGGGTGAACCTTTCGAAGAGTGCAACTTCGACGCTTGTTCACTCTTGGACCTTTGTTCACTTAGCTTTTTCTTAGGTTGATCAATGCTTTTAGGCTTCTCCACCCTCTTTCTGTTTGAAGTTTTTCTTCCATGCAAAATCTAAAATAGTTTGAGAAAGAATAAGTTTATAAGTTGAGAAATGAAGAGAATGGCTTTATTTTGACAAAATGGGCCCAAAACTTTAGAACTTTGCTTCTTTTATGTAATTTCAATTCACAATCACTTATAAATATGTAATTATGATATGGTTTGAGAATGAATAAGTTTATAATTTGAAAATGAAGAAAATAGGCAAATGAGAAGCCTTTTTGGCTCAAAATGGCTTTATTTTTATGAATTACACCCAAAACCTTAGAACTTAGCTTCTTTTATGTAATTTCAACTGACAACCACTTATAAATATGTAATTATGAGATGGTTTAAGAATGAATAAGTTTATAAGTTGAGAAATGAAGAAAATAGGCATGCGAAAAGCCATTTCGCCGAGTTTTTTTTAAAAAATAAAAATTGCTCAAATTTTTTTTTTCTAAAAAATACACAACTTCCGCCAAACCGGAACACACGAGGGAGCCGCCCCAGCTCTTGGAACAACAAAAGTAGCCCGCGCGGAGGCCACAACGGCCCCGGCAGGCGGCAGCTATGCAAACTGCAGCCTCAACAGGCTGCTGCCGAGGCTGCATCAGCCCCGGCAGCCTGCTGCCTTGGCTGAGCAGCCGCGGCAGCGGCTGCCGGGGCTGCTTCAGCCATTGCAGCCGCTCCCGAGGCTGCTTCAGCCACTGCAACCACTCCTGGGGCTGCGTGATTCCAATGCGGGAGCAGCCCCAGCAGCGGCTGCCGAGTCTGGAGCTTCCCGAGGTAGTGTAGGGAGCACCAGCCGAGGCCGCCGCTGCCTCGGCCTCGGAGATGGGGGTCGGGGAGTCGTGCTATTTTGGCGGTTTTATTTTTAGAGTGCCTAACGGTTATTTAACACTTAAAAAATTGAGAAATAATTAATTTACCTCCTTATTAATCAACTTGACCCATGCACGTGGCTAATCAACGAAGCTACCTATAGCTTGCCAAAGCTTTGTTATCTCAACCTCCTCTATCGGTACAGGTAGTGGGACGTCTTCGAACCCCGCAACCACTAAATTGATCAAAAACCAAGTAATGACGTGGCCCCGCCTAGCACCCGTCGTCGCTTGGGCACTACCATACGCCACCCAACTGAATGCCATATATTTTCATGTCCCGGGGCTAGAAGTGCACACCGGGTGTCTTCCTACACAAGTATATATATAAAAAGAAGATAGTTAAATAGGACTTTTACAACAGCATAGATAATATAACAAAATTCATTAAGGTAGAGGGTTATAAATCACCGGTAACTCTGGATATTCATGCGGTGTTAGATTATCAAGCTCCCTCGAGTCCACATGTGTAGGAGTAGGAACCTGCAACAGTACATCAATCATGCCACCTCAGATCTCAATTAACTCAGTATTTTAAAACTTTTAATAACCTAATTGATTTTACCTCAGGTGGCACATCTTCACCACGTATCTCATCTACTCCATGTCTATCACCTTCTCCATGTCCTTTTGGTTGAGAACATGAGTCGACTGGGGTACTCGCGAGGAACGGCAAAGTCGGTAAGTTCATCTACTTCGCCCAAGCATTGAATTCACTTACTAACTCGTTGCGTACTTGTTCCTTAATTGATGCCACCTTCGCATCCAACTCCCCCGGTGAGTTAAACACTGGCTCAAGATCTACCCGATTTTGTGTATTCTGGACCCATGATAAGCCGTCTTATCAAGGGTTGAGAGAAGAGTTTTAGGGTGTGTTTTGATGTTGTGCATGAGTGTTTAATAGCTTTTGTGAGTATCGGGCAGTGATCTCACCTGTGTACAAAAGCCGGGATTTATAGGTGTTAGTGAGTGAGTTCGGGAACTAATGAGGAGGATTATAGAGTATGGACCTTAGCTCGTGATTTGAGAAGCGTGATGGAGCTTGGAAGAGCAAGGGAGAAAGCTTGAGTAAAGGTGAAGCAAAGCTAGAAGAAAGAGCAAAGAAGACAGCAGAACCGCTGCCAGGGCCGCTGGCAGCTGGCCAGAGCCGCTGGCAGCGGGTCAGCCAGAGAGGACGAAGTGTTTTGCTGCTTTAGCCACTGCCAGAGGTCCCGAGCAGCTGGCAGCGGGTCTTCCAGATTTCGGGGCCTGTTTTGGTTATTTTTCAGCAGTTTGCTTTGTCTTGGCTCGTGTTTTGTATTTATTTATTATTTTTATTATTGTTTCTTCCGGATTCTTGGTTAAAGATTGAAGCTTTTGGCTACAAATTGTGAGATTTCTCTTCTCTTTATTATTATCTATTGAACGTTTATTATTCCTTTGAATTATTTCATGATTTGCTTTAATCAATTGCTAGGTTAGAATTGTTAGATTCGCTTGCATCTAATTAATCTTTCCAAAGTAGCAACTTTGGGTTATG